ATGTTTCCACCCCCATGCTTCACAGTAGGTATGGTGTTCTTTGGATGCAACTCAGCATTCTTTGTCCTCCAAACACGACGAGTTGAGTTTTTACCAAAAAGTTATATTTTGGTTTCATCTGACCATATGACATTCTCCCAATCCTCTTCTGGATCATCCAAATGCACTCTAGCAAACTTCAGACGGGCCTGGACATGTACTGGCTTAAGCAGGGGGACACGTCTGGCACTGCAGGATTTGAGTCCCTGGCGGCGTAGTGTGTTACTGATGGTAGGCTTTGTTACTTTGGTCCCAGCTCTCTGCAGGTCATTCACTAGGTCCCCCCGTGTGGTTCTGGGATTTTTGCTCACCGTTCTTGTGATCATTTTGACCCCACGGGGTGAGATCTTGCGTGGAGCCCCAGATCGAGGGAGATTATCAGTGGTCTTGTATGTCTTCCATTTCCTAATAATTGCTCCCACAGTTGATTTCTTCAAACCAAGCTGCTTACCTATTGCAGATTCAGTCTTCCCAGCCTGGTGCAGGTCTACAATTTTGTTTCTGGTGTCCTTTGACAGCTCTTTGGTCTTGGCCATAGTGGAGTTTGGAGTGTGACTGTTTGAGGTTGTGGACAGGTGTCTTTTATACTGATAACAAGTTCAAACAGTTGCCATTATTACAGGTAATGAGTGGAGGACAGAGGAGCCTCTTAAAGAAGAAGTTACAGGTCTGTGCGAGCCAGAAATCTTGCTTGTTTGTAGGTGACCAAATACTTATTTTCCACCATAATTTGCAAATAAATTCATAAAAAATCCTACAATGTGATTTTCTGGAGAGAAAAAATTCTCGATGTGTCTGTCATAGTTGACGTGTACCTATGATGAAAATTACAGGCCTCTCTCATCTTTTTAAGTGGGAGAACTTGCACAATTTGTGGCTGACTAAATACTTTTTTCCCCACTGTATATATATATACAGTGGGATCCCAACATCATCCGAGATTTCCACCTTTGCCCTCTGGACCGGCCCGCTCCTCGCCCATCATTACGCACACGTGGCAACCATCATTACGCACACATGCACACCTGCGCCCCATCATTATGTACACCTGGACTTCATCACTACCTTGATTACTTCCCATTTATTTAGCACTCTGTAGCCTCACTCATCAGGCAGTATTGGTTCTGTTTTCTTGTCCAGACGCTTCTCTTGTTTTGTATCTCTCCATGTTCGTTATTATTAAACTCACCAACTGCACCTGGCTCCCAGCAGGTAATCAAGACATCTCCCAGATGGTCGGTGAACAGGGACACCTACTTCGCCAACACCACAACTAGCTGGCGAAACTGGGGAAGGAGATGGATGAGGTCCTCCGCATTATTCAACGCCTTGACATTACCCATGGGGCGTCACCTCCAACTAGTGGAGGATTCTCTACCACGAGTCCACCCAGCGAGCCAGCACCCCAGCCCATCCAGCAGTCCGCCCAGGTCAGCGATGCCCGACCGTCCCTCCTGGAAAAATATGACGGGACTCCATCTAATTGCCGTGGCTTCCTACTCCAGTGCTCCCTCTATTTCGCCCATCAGATGGGAGCCCCACCACCGAGAGGTCCAAGGTTGCCACAGTTATTTCCCTGCTGACCGGACGGGCGTTGGAGTGGGCTACGGCCATCTGGGAGAGAGGAGAGGAGGAGCTGGGTTCCTATGAGAGGTTCTTGGCTCTGTTCAGGGGGTTCTTCGATCATTCATCGGAGGACAGAGAGGGGGGTGAGTGCCTGCTCTGACTACAGCAGGAAGGCCAGACCGCTGCGGAGTACTCCCTCACCTTCGTACAGTGGCAGCATCCAGCGGATGGAATGAGCCGGTGCTCTGCACCCTATTCCGAAGAGGACTGTGCAAACAGGTCCAGACCTAGTTGGCGTGTCGAGACGACACCCTCGTGTTGTTTCTACAGCTGTAGTGGATTCCGGTGTCGAGGGGAATTGTATTGACCAGGCCCTTGCCTCCTCCCTGAACATAACCTCATACCCGCTCTCCTCTCCATTTCTGGTTTGAGCACTGGATAATCGACCACTTGTATCCGGGACTATCACACACATCACAGCACCACTCACCCTCACTGTGGAGTCCATACATCAAGAAAGCCTTCCCTTCGTCATCATCAGTGCACAAGTACACAAGATCATCCTCGGCCTCCCATGGCTCCAACGTCATGACCCCACCATCTCATGGTCGAGGATGACAATCACGAACTGGGCACCGGAATGCCGGAGGACCTGCTTTCCCTTCCCCTGTGGTTCCACGTCGGTCGAGAGTCCTGTGGTTGCTCTTCAGCCCAATATCCCTGAGGTATACCAAGACCTGCAGGAGGTTTTCTCCAAGACAAGCGCCACCTGTCTCCCTCCTCATCGCCCCTGGGACTGTGCCGTCGACCTGCTTGCAGGCTCTGCACCTCCGCGCAGCCGCATCTACCCTGTGTCCAGTACCTGGTGGACTGGGAGGGGTACGGTCCAGAGGAGTAGTGTTGGGTCCTGGTGGACGACATTCTAGATCCCAACATCATCCGAGATTTCCACCTTTGCCCTCTGGACCGGCCCGCTCCTCGCCCTTCATTACGCACACGTGGCAACCATCATTACGCACACATGCGCCCCATCATTATGCACACCTGGACTTAATCACTACCTTGATTACTTCCCCTTTATCTAGCACTCTGTAGCCTCACTCATTAGGCAGTATTGGTTCTGTTTTCTTGTCCAGACACGTCTCTTGTTTAATATCTCTCCATGTTCGTTATTATTAAACTCACCAACTGCACCTGCTTCCTGACTCCCTGTATTGACTCAGGGGTAGAATACTTATCTAATGAGATATGTTAGTGTTAGAATCTTTCTTCCACTTTGACATTACACAGTATTTTGTGTAGATCGTTGACAAAAAAAGGACAATTAAATCTATTTTAATCCCACTTTGTAACACAATGTGGAAAAAGTCAATTGGTGTGAATACTTTCTGAAGGCACTGTAGTTACAGTTTGGCCATGGATGTGTTACTCAGTTTAAGGTTGAATAAATACTGTTACATTCATTTGTAAGACAGCCTTAACTTTAGGCTATTTACTGTAATGCAAAAGTAATATTGAATTGTGTTTGGTTGTCAATGCCATCAAATATCAACATTTAAAGGATACAGTATTTAATGCTTAGTTTCATCTGAGCCATTGGCTTAATCATATTCTTTAACTTTTATTTTTGGTTTTGTTGGAGACGTGAATCCAACATATACTTTGTTATATCACACCGTTGTTGAATACTCGGCTCTGATTGGCTACAAGGGCATTCTAGAATGGGCATTAAAACCAGATAATGGACAGTTGGAAAAGATATCGGGACACCTTGTGCCTACACATGCAGACCATACTTGCTACAAAGTAACAGAAAGCTAAGCCAACAACCACACAACCCAAAACGCAGGTCCAATGAGGAAAAACTAACCAGCTAGCATTGATTTGTTTTTGCAGATACTTATTTTTTTGGAGAGTCAGATGACCTAACGTGGTAAGTGATTAATATGAATTTCTCCAGTCCCTGTTGCAGTAATGACGCAAGTGGTGCAATGCTGTCAAATCCTCCCACATGTTTCTAGTTGACCAGCTGTTTTCAGTAATAATTTTGAATTTGGTTGTCATATTGGCAGGTTTGCTAGCAACAAACTATTTAGCTAGTGTATGCAATGTGATCTCCTCGTAATGAACAGTGTCGAGTGTCCTGACGAGAACGCAAACTTTTCTAGCTATGCCAGGCAAAATCTGGCATCATCAGCTCATTGTTATTGATGTATCCAAATGAATGTCAATAGAAAACAGATTAAACAAATGCAAATGCAGCTACTTTGCTGTTATTCTGGAGGCAGAGGTCATGACTGTGTTAGCCGTAGCTAGTTGGCTAGTTGGCAAGCAAGGGGCTTGCCAGCGAACATGTCAATGGAACATATAGAACGAACAACTGGGTCTCGTCCATAAATATAGAAGTAATCGAACGAACGTCTGGGTCACGTCTCTAGCACCTAAAAGATGAGAAAGTATGAATTTGCTTATAAAAATGAAAATATCAGTGTTTATTGTTTTTTCTACCAGTAAATGTCTGCTTTAGTATTGTTTTCTTTGGCAACTGTGGTATAAGCGGGATATACGCCTCCGTTCTGTACATTACCTTGAAAAAGTTAACTCTGCCTCGTCCCGCTGCGTAGTCCATTATTTCCAAGATAATGTACAGAAGGTCGGTGTTTATCCCTTACTGAACTTGTCGACAAGTTAATAGGCTATTTACTGTATTGCAAAATATATATTGAATTGTGCATGGTTGTCAACGCAACCAAATATCAACATTTGAAGGAGTTGTATATTTTGTGCCATTGACTTAGTCTAGATTTAAAACCAGTTTGTCTACAAATTAATATGCTGGATTCACGTCTCCATCTCAACCAAACATAAAAGTTAAAGAATAGGACAAAATCAAATTAAACTTTATTTAAAGTACATTTAAAGTTTGATTTGATTTAGTCCTATTCTTTAACTTTCATTTTTGGTTGAGATGGAGACGTGAATCCAACATATCAATTATTAATCCTAACTTATGGCTGCTAAAATGGCTGTGTAAAATGTAACAGTCTTTGATCCCAAAAGGTACATATTGTACCATGCGCTCCCTCAAATCCATGTCGGTTTCCAAGTAGCTCGCTTCCATTGTCTTCAGCAACTTGACAGCTGTATTCGAATTATTTTGTTCTTTGAGTAATTGGGACTGCTTTCATCATGATCTCCTACAAGCTGCATCCAGTCAAGCATGTGTTACCTGGTGGTGCCAGACCCCCCACACACACGCGTGCAAGCACGCGCACACACATCGTAACACCCAGCATGTCGTGGATTTCCTCGCCGCTGTATCCCCGCAGGCCGTTCAGGTCGCAGACAAAGCGGTAGACGTACCGCTTCCCAGATGTCTTTTTGTTGTCGTAGTATTAGCGCAGGCCTCGGCTCAGCTTCTCATAGTTAATCTTAGGCTTGTTCTTCCTCCGGCCCCAGCGCCTAGCCTCCTGGAGGACAGGAGAGAGGGAGGAGTGAGGGGGAGAGGAGAGAGGGAGGAGTGAAGAGGAGAAGAGAAGGGGAGAGGGAGAGGGTCAAATAATCTTGTTCCACCCCATCCCCAGTCTCCTATGGCAATATCAGGAAAACATTTTAACTTATTTGTCTCTTCCATCAGGTCTTGTCAATGTGAATTAGTAGCTGGATAAAGAATGAAGTGATGATCAAATCAAGTGTTGCATTGTATCATTTTAGACGTTCCTGAGAGGGTCCTCCCTGGTTATCTCAGTGGATGGGACGTTCTCACCTTATCAGGATCGGTGAATTTGAATTCCCAGCCGTCTCCGGTCCAGCTGATGACTGATTGACAGGAGGTGTCGTTCAGGAGCTCCAACAGAAACTGCCACAACTGGATAGGACCACCTCCTGTGGAAGCACAACCAAGGAACATATACTGTTTATTACTTGAATTACTTGTTGTTTGTTTCTTTGGGATTCATTCAAACAGTTACCATAGTCACCTTTTGACTACCAGGTAGTCAGCTATTGTGTTGAATTTTTGGGTAACACACACACACACATACACATACAAATCAAATCAAAATCAAATCAAATTTTATTGGTCACATGCGCCGAATACAACAGGTGCAGACATTACAGTGAAATGCTTACTTACAGCCCTTAACCAACAGTGCATATATTTTTAACAAAAAAAAAGAAAATAAAAATAAATTTATAAAAGTAAAAATAAAACAACAACAAAAAAAGTGTTGAGAAAAAAAAGAGCAGAAGTAAAATAAAATAACAGTAGGGAGGCTATATATACAGGGGGGTACCGGTGCAGAGTCAATGTGCGGGGGCACCGGCTAGTTGAGGTAGTTGAAGTAATATGTACATGTGGGTAGAGTTAAAGTGACTATGCATAAATAATTAACAGAGTAGCAGCAGCGTCAAAAGGATGGGGTGGGGGTGGCAGTGCAAATAGTCCGGGTAGCCATGATTAGCTGTTCAGGAGTCTTATGGCTTGGGGGGTAGAAGCTGTTGAGAGGTCTTTTGGACCTAGACTTGGCACTCCGGTACCGCTTGCCGTGCGGTAGCAGAGAGAACAATCTATGACTAGGGTGGCTGGAGTCGTTGACAATTTTGAGGGCCTTCCTCTGACACCGCCTGGTATAGAGGTCCTGGATGGCAGGAAGCTTGGCCCCAGTGATGTACTGGGCCGTACGCACTACTCTCTGTAGTGCCTTGCGGTCGGAGGCCAAGCAGTTGCCATACCAGGCGGTGATGCAACCAGTCAGGATGCTCTCGATGGTGCAGCTGTAGAATTTTTTGAGGATCTGAGGACCCATGCCAAATCTTTTCAGTCTCCTGAGGGGGAATAGGCTTTGTCATGCCCTCTTCACGACTGTCTTGGTGTGTTTGGACCATGATAGTTCGTTGGTGATGTGGACACCAAGGAACTTGAAGCTCTCAACCTGTTCCACTACAGCCCCGTCGATGAGAATGGGGGCGTGCTCAGTCCTCTTTTTTTTCCTGTAGTCCACAATCATCTCCTTTGTCTTGGTCACGTTGAGGGAGAGGTTGTTGTCCTGGCACCACACGGCCAGGTCTCTGACCTCCTCCCTATAGGCTGTCTCATCGTTGTCGGTGATCAGGCCTACCACTGTTGTGTCGTCGGCAAACTTAATGATGGTGTAGGAGTCGTGCCTGGCCATGCAGTCATGGGTGAACAGAGAGTACAGGAGGGGACTGAGCACGCACCCCTGAGGGGCCCCCGTGTTGAGGATCAGTGTGGCAGATGTGTTGTTACCTACCCTTACCACCTGGGGGCGGCCCGTCAGGAAGTCCAGGATCCAGTTGCAGAGGGAGGTGTTTAGTCCCAGGATCCTTAGCTTAGTGATGAGCTTAGAGGGCACTATGGTGTTGAATGCTGAGCTGTAGTCAATGAATAGCATTCTCACGTAGGTGTTCCTCTTGTCCAGGTGGGAAAGGGCAGTGTGGAGTGCAATAGAGATTGCATAATCTGTGGATCTGTTGGGGCGGTATGAAAATTGGAGTGGGTCTAGGGTTTCTGGGATAATGCTGTTGATGTGAGCCATGACCAGCCTTTCAAAGCACTTCATGGCTACAGACGTCAGTGCTACGGGTCGGTAGTCATTTAGGCAGGTTATCTTAGAGTCCTTGGGCACGGGGACTATGGTGGTCTGCTTGAAACATGTTGGTATTACAGACTCAGTCAGGGACATGTTGAAAATGTCAGTGAAGACACTTGCCAGTGTACACCTGTGTATCCTGCAAGAGCTACTGCTGGTATGACCGACTTGTCTTTGGTCAGGTCCATGCGCTCACGTATTCTTTGAAGGTGCCTTTGACCGGGTGACCATGCAGCATGGCGGGGTAGTCCTCTGAGTCAAAGCTGTCTTACCTTGAATGACATGCCCCATGTCACATGTTGTCGTGGGAGACCACTTCCTGTAAAGGTGGGAAGGTAGTCCTCCTGCTTAGTAGAATTTCATTTCTCACTGATCCTCACAGGTGATAGGTAGAAGTGTCTGATAGGACTCTGTGATGAAGCCTGACTCTGAGTTGTCTTATTGATGAACGCACTGATATTTTTCTCCATTATAAACTGCATCACTAAGCGCAATGTGAACAATAAATTAGTTGTGTCTCCTGTGACTCTTGGAACATGGACCTCAAGCCATGGATGGGGAAATGCCTCACATCTTTACCAAGAAATACATGTTAGTTAGGATGGTACACTGTATCTCTGTATCTCTGCTTTAACACTAAAATAATCTACCAATTAAACTGAATGCCACAGGAAATATCAAGGTTTGTGGGTTGGGCTGCTAACGCGTTTAATACAATAGGTTTAGCTGTCCGTTATAAAACAATGTTGCGCTGATGATAGCCTTACAGTCTCTTGATAGCCTAGTTAGGATAATAATATAGCTAGCAATGATGCTATAGCCAAAGTAGGCAATGAATGTTGCTGGTGCCATAGTATAGCAACGATGCTAAAATTTGTTTTGCTAGCTTAGAAATTATGCTAATAGCCTGTATGTTGAAAGCCTTGTAATGATGCTAATAGCTCTAGCAATGATGCGAATAGTCTTACTGGATGTTGCTGGGTTAGCAATGTAGCGAATGGCCTAAAGCTTGCTGTATGATTCCCAGTCGAAACAGTTTGTGCATATATTATGACGACATTTTGTGATGTTTTTGTTCGTTTTGGTCTTCGACAGGTATTTGTTTTTTGTGGGGGGGTAGCCGGTAGCCGAAGTTCGGTAGCCGAAGTCTACGCCCCTTTGTCGGTGAACAGTAGTAAGAGTGGGAGCTATGGACGGAATTATTCAATTAAGTGTTTGTTGTCATTCAACAAGAGATGACTAGTTTTAATGCACATTTTTTCACTTGAAAGTCAAGACAGAACTAAATATATTGATAAGACAGAGGGCAGAATTTGCCATTCATCGAGTTAGACTTAACCATTACTTTGATGCTAATCAACCCAGTTGTCTACTGGCTAAGGATATCGGATATTGCAACCATTGAGGGGGGGGGTGGGGGGGGGGGGGGTGGACTGATAAGCATCCTCAGTTGATGGGTGGGAAAGGAGGGGGTGGGAGGCATGCGTTCTTTCATGCTAAAAACTTCAACAGAACGCTCAAATCAATTCAATCAGACCTCAGTAGATGGACTAACATCCAAGTTGCTCTAACCGGCAGAATTTATATTGTGAAAATGTATATATTGCCTCGGTTGAATTACTTACAATGCTTCATGTCTCCCCCTTCCGGCTACAAGGATAAAATCCACAGTGCATTTAAAAAAGGTAAGAGATCCCGGATTAAATTAACACATTTACAGAGAGGGAAAGATGCTCGGGGGGCTAGGCGGGGTGGAAAGGGGTGGGAAACATGGTTTCCGGGTGGGAAGGAGAATGTGGGCGGGTTGATGAGGACTGAGGGGGTTGGGGGTAATGGGTTGTGGAGGGGAACCTTTTTAAATATATTTATTTATCTTGCATACAGAATATTACAAAACTGTTTATGCTGTTCTTTGTCTTTGTATGCATTTCTCTGATAGTTTCTTCTTCTTCTACTTCTTTCGAAAGGCAACCCACAGGTACAGGAAAGTATGAAATATAAAATGCAAATATTATAACTGAATGCATGAATATATCTGAATTAATATGATTTTGATTGTTATACCTGTAACCCCCATCTGAAAAAATTACAAACTAAATATAATGTTGGTCACCAAAAAAAAATACTGCACCAAACATATTAGTTAGATGTATAACTGCGCGACTAAGACCTTCTTGACAAAAACGTCAAAATGAATGAGAGATTTCTTGATATATCTTAGATTAATTCTGCCTATTTTGAGGAAGTATTATTGGCTATGTTGTTGCTATGTGGCTCAAGAGCGACAAACAACAGTAAATATTGCTACTTTTGTCTCATTTTTCAAGCGAAGGTCTTTAGGGAGTATGCGAGCTCAGACGTTCGTTTTTGTATTTATTTATATTTTTTAGGGGGTGGATCAGCTTTAATATTGCAAATAAAATGTGGCTTCTATCAATGTACTTGTCTGCATCCAATCTCCCATATATATACAGTGCGGAGAACAAGTATTTGATACACTGCTGATTTTGCAGGTTTTCCTACTTACAAAGACATGATCAGTGAGAACGGTGAGGAATCAGCCCAGAACTACACGGGAGGATCATGTCAATGTCATGTCAAAGCACATATACAGGCCCGTCTGAAGTTTGCCAATGAACATCTGAATGATTCAGAGGAGAACTGGGTGAAAGTGTTGTGGTCAGATGAGACCAAAATCGAGCTCTTTGCCATCAACTCAACTCGTCGTGTTTGGAGGAGGAGGAATGCTGCCTATGACCCCAAGAACACCATCCCCACGTCAAACATGGAGATGGAAACATTATGCTTTGGGGGTGTTTTTCTGCTAAGGTGACAGGACAACTTCACCGCATCAAAGGGACGATGGACGGGGCCATGTACCGTCAAATCTTGGGTGAGAACCTCCTTCCCTCAGCCAGGACATTGAAAATGGGTCGTGGATGGGTATTCCAGCATGCCAATGACACAAAACACACGGCCAAGGCAACAAAGGAGTGGCTCAAGAAGAAGCACATTAAGGTCCTGGAGTGGCCTAGCCAGTCTCCAGACCTTAATCCCATAGAAAATCTGTGGAGGGAGCTGAAGGTTTGAGTTGCCAAACGTCAGCCTCGAAACCTTAATGACTTGGAGAAGATCTGTAAAGAGGAGTGGGACAAATCCCTCCTGAGATGAGATGTGTGCAAATCTGGTGGCCAACTACAAGAAACGTCTGACCTCTATGAATGCCAACAAGGGTTTTGCCACCAAGTACTAAGTCATGTTTTGCAGAGGGGTCAAATACTTATTTCCCTCATTTAAA